ATGATTACTGTCCCCTTCATTTCTCTCTGTGAACCTAAAGCTAACTTGTCCCCACATGGGGATGAGGGTCTCAGACAGCAGCACAGTCGCCCGAGCTTCACCAAGGCTGGGGAGGGAGATCCCCCATTGCCTATTCCTGTATCAACCCACTCCTCACAACCCACCCCTCTGCCTCTCTCAGTTTCACATAGACAGAAGGACAGGACAGCCCATCATCAAGATGCCAGAGATTAGTTTTGGGCCAGAATCAGCCTGAAAGGTCAGAAAGCGGGAAGCAAAGAGCGGGAGCATGGTAGGGTAGCTTCTACCTCTGTGTCTGCACAGAAAACCAAGCGAAACCAGGCAGAAATGCAGCTCCCCCAGGTCCCGAGAGCAGGAGGCAGCAGTGTGTTCCTCCCAGGACTTGGGGTGAGGGGAGAACATTTGGGGGTCCCAGCATCCCAAACAGCATCATGAGGCTGGGGGAGGTGGACTGGGATAACCTCCTGCCTTGGGCAAGGGTTGGAGCTCCTGCCCCGGGGCTGGGGGTGAAGGATGCTCGTGCCATGGGAGTTGAAGGCTAACACCAGCCTGAGCACGGGGGGCAAATTCCTGCCCCGGCCAGATCCTGCAGGTCAGGATCCAAGGACCAGAAGGGAATTGGGATCAGCGGTCAGACACCATTGATGATGGGCCGTTGGGGGATGGGGGGTGGAGGTCAGCCTCGCCCCACCACCCTCCACCCGTGTTTTTGGCACGTCTCCACTTTCTTCCTTGAATTCCCCCATTTTGTCTCGACCCACTCACCATCCCCCCCGAAGGCAGCTGCTCTCTTACCCAGGAGCCAAGGGGCGCAGGACTCCATGATGCCATCCTTGGCAGACTTGAGGATGGACTCAGGCAGTGGGATGGAGTGACGCACCATGGCACCGTAGAGCCCGTACTCGGCCATCACGCTGCTCCTGCCCCAGCATTTCTCCCTCTTTCGCCACTTGGCCCGGCGATTCTGGAACCAAACCTGGGGCAGGTGACAAGGAGGAACATGGTTTTTTTGGGGGCACAAGGTGCATCTCTCACCTTCCCGCATGGGAACACACGTGTGCTCCTGCAGCGGGATGAGGGCAGACACGTGGATGCTCATCCTGAAAGCACTGCGACCTCTTCCCCCGTGCAGCAGCTGCAGGGTATCTCTCCCTCCCTCCCTTGCAGAAGCAGTGAGGGCAAAGCGTGAGAGCAGGTCCCATCCCTCTCAGCAGGATGTAATTAATTTCCCATCGTGGTGTCTTTTTCTAGCTCCTTTTGGCTCTTGTGCCTGGGATTTTCTTTCATTATTTAACTGGGTGTCTGAGCCGTGGCACGGGGCTCGGGCAGCAGTGCCTGCAGAGAGGGCTGGGATGGGGCTGGATGCTCGGGAGAGGTGGGAGAAGGGGTGAGCTGATCTGTGCGCTTCGCCCTGAGTTCCCAGTTTGAAAAGCCCCTCATCTTCTCAGAAAATTGGCAGAATAATCTCTGAGCTGTGACCTGAGGGGCAGCAAGCAGAGAGGCGGGTGGCGATGCCGGGGGGGGGGGGTGGTGTGTGTGGGATGCTTGCAGAAATCTATTAGCGCTCTCTCTCCGATTTCCATTCCTCTTGTCTCCCTCGCCCTCCTCCCTCCCCGGCTCCCCTCCCTTCCCACCGAGCAGAGGCATCAGCTTTAGATGAAAAATTGCTCGAGGTCTATTCAGAAGGAGGCAAAGGAAGAGTCAGCCCCAGGGGCAGCCCAGGCCTGATTGAAAAATAAGTTAATTTCAGTTTGAATCGATGGGCCTCAGGCACTGAAATATCACGGGAAATTAAAGCAGCTGGTCCCCAGGGAACCACGCCATTGACCTGCGCTAATTAATGCCATGGAGTTACCAGGCCCCTCTCCGAGAGCCAGCCCCTCCCTCCCCGCGGACACCCCAAACACCTCCTCATTTAACTAATTAGACTCACAGAAAATTGGGTGTTAATTTGTTTAGGATTTTTTTTTTTCTTTTCTATTTTTTTCCCTCCCTTTCCCGGAAAGTACACGGCGGAATGGAAATGAATGGCGGGGTCTCGCTGGCAGATGGATGCTCGGGGTCACTCTGCAATCTTCTCCGACTTGATTGCTTGATTAGGTCGTTAGCACATTAAAAAAAAAAATTGCTTGCCGTCTGGCGCTGGCCTGATGAGTGGGATGAGGCGGGAATCGCCTGGGTAATTTATCTTTTTATACTGCAAAGAATTTGATTTCAATCTGCAGATATATGGAGGTGCCTTTGACACCTGTTTAACATTACAGAGCTGACAGCTTAACCCTCTCTTGTCCCCACTGCCCATAGCCATGGGGGAGCTTGGGCTGCAGCGGGGAGCACTGGGGGACTGGGGCAAAGCCCCAGCTCTATTGTGGGGACCACAAGACTGATGCCATGGAGCTCTCAGCTGGCAAGGCAAGCTCAGCTCTTCTCTGCTCACCTGTGCGGAAGGGAACTGCCCAGCACCGAAGCCTTACAGGGACAGAGCTGCAGGGTAGGTGGGTGGCTTGCTAGCACTGGTGACAGCCAGCTGGGCCGCTCCTGGGAGCCCTGGCAGCCTGGCCCCACAGGGAGCAATGCGGGGTGGCTGGGGTGGTGGTCCCAGCAGCTGTGATCCCAGCTTCTCCCAGCAGAAGACACTCTGTGCATATCAGAGAGGATTTTACAGCTGGGCTGCTTTGCCTTATGTCACCTCCTCTGCATGATAAACAGTCTGATTTACACTTTCATACTGCTGATATGTAACCCCTGGACCATGGATGGCTGCGAATCCATTGGGGCCTGAGCAGGGACCCTCAGGAGTGCACAGCTTCCTCTCTCCGTCCGCTCCGGAATGCTTGCGTGACATTGGGTTTGCTGGGTCATGCAGTCAGCAGGATGCTGGCAGGGTCTCTCGCTCCAGGCCATGTGCTCCTCCCACTCCCGGAGCCCGGAGGGCAGCGCTGGAAAGCACCCGCTTGCTCCCCCTCCAGCCTCAGCACAAACCGCTGTGGTTCCTTCTCCCCGAGCAGACTGAGGCGGTGGGGCAGCTACCCCTGACACCTCCATGCTGCAAGGGGAGAGCCCGACCTTCCAGGCCTGTTCTGCCCTGGATAAACCAGTACAGTTACATCCCTCGCCGCAGAGCTCCTCTCTATCTCCCTTGGCTTCAGGGAGAAATTCCTGCACAACCCAAGGGACAGCACCTGCAAATCTGCCTTGGTTTGGGGCTGCTGCTATGACACCTTTCCTTGTATTCAGTGTGGCTTGCAGGGCTTGGCTCTGTGCAGCTTTGTTTGTCACAAGTTGCCATAGCTGGGATCTCAGCCAGGAACAGGTTTTTCCATTAAGTACCAAGCCAGCAACTTTGTAAACTCTCTTCTATCCTTTTTTACCCAGGTGCCTCCTCACTGATGCTTTTACAACCCCTCTTTCCCACCTTGATGCCCCAAACGTCTTCTCCCCTGCCTTATGCTCCCTTGCCCTTCTCCTTGGCCAGATCTCACTTGCCCCAGCACTGCCCACTGCCACTAAACCCACTGCCGTGGAGCATCCCCTTTCCCACGGCAGGGCCACGGAAATACCACAGCCAGCAGAAGCTTTGCCAGCTGGCCGTCCAATTTTGACTAGAGCTGGTGGAAAATTTTCAATCAGAAAATGCTGATTCAATCGCACAGGAAAAACTGCATCCAGCCAGTGGAAGTGTAATCAAAATTATCTATGGCTTTCTTCTGAACGTTGTATTTTAATCTCAGCCGCCTAAGACATGCAAAATCTATGTCTAAAGCCAAATGGGAAAATCAAAATTACATCAACATCTTAATAAGATTGTTCTGAGATTTCTCAAACCGGTTTTTGTAATTTGATGGGAATTTCCTCTTGGTTTCAACTTGGAAAAAGGAAAGTTTGAAATCCCAGAATTTCTAGTGGAATAGAAGTTGGGAGGACTGGCCATCTTGCTTTAATACCAGGAGCTATATCTTGATCTCAGGAATGAAATCACATGAAGCTAATGATGCTCAACATTGAATATTGCTGGGATCAAAACCCAGCCCAGCAACTCTGCCACAAGACCCTCCAGAGCAGCACAGGAAAGGGCTCCCACACCATTTCAGATCAGCAGAATTATTCCCTGTGGCTCGTTCTCAGGATTTTGCCCTCATTCAGATGGCTCCATTGGTGGGACTTTCTTCTGGGAGAAGATCTCACTGCTTTCTTCAGCTTTCTTGATGTGTTACCAAAATTTTACTATGCCTTGGTTCTGAGCCGAATTACACACCAGTTTTAGTAATTCTGAGGCATTTCCAGCTCTGTTGGTACCTCACCCACAACTTCTGAATATTTATTATTGGCACTTCACTTTTCCTCCTTTGACTGGGGAGAGTTCCACCCTTATACTTCCATTCACTTGCAGTTTTGGTATTCCATGGCTTCTTTTGCTGCAGTTGTCTTTGCTTGAAGATATTTACTCTACATCTCCCTCCGGCTCTGTAAAATTCAGCCTGCTTCAAGCAATGTTTAGGTTTGTCCCTGTTTGGTCTTGCCCCTTCCCATCACGCGGGCCAACTTAGCTTTTTGAAATGCTTTACTGACATGGCTGTGTACCACACACCTTCCTTCTCACTTGCTTTCATCTGGTTCTCCATTGCACAGCCCAGGATATGGTGAAAAGACTGTGTTTGCACTTCCACACTTCACAACCAGTGGTAAAAACCCCTGATTAATTTTAGACTGAAGCACGTCAGGTGTTTGTGCAAAGCTATGACAATCTAATGCACAGAGGTGTACTTTGGAGCAATGTGCTACATCTTAAGATGATTTATAGCTTTTGGTTATCGCATGGGCACACCCTGTGAAAGATGGGGAGCTTGTTCCAGGAACTCTACCCTCAGAAAATGGACAACAGGTGAAGAGGACAGGTGTGTCTTGCTACCCACAGGATGTCCATGTTCAGTCCATGCATGCACACTTGCTGTACAGCAGCCCAAAGCCCTCTCCTGGGCTGCTCCTGAGGCCCCACAAGTTGCTGCCCTTGGCACACCAAGGGCTGGATCTGGGATGGTGATTGCCCCGGCCAAGCTGGGGGCAGCAGGCAAGCACACCTCTGACAAGGCTGCCCTCCATGCACCGGCAGCAGGATAAGACTATGCTCAGTTTCATAGTGCATGCTGCAAGTTGGGTATGCGTGTGCACCCTGCAGAAAACGCAGGGTCTTCCAAATGCATCAGATTTGGTCCTCTAGGCAAAGAAAAGCTGCAAGACCAAAACCCATCACCTTGCAAAACCTGCTGTCAATATGAAACAGGGAGATAGAAGGTCGTAACATAACACCTTGCTCACAAAGGATCTGCCCATCAACTCAGTCCCCATAATTTTGTCAGGGCTGAGCATCACACACTCTGTAACCCCACCAGGCAGGTCACACTGACACTGCCTCCTCCAAGAGCAGCCACAGCCTATGATCCAAGACAGCAGCAAACGCCAGCACCTTCAGCATCATCGCCTGGATGCTTGTTCCACATGCCTGTCCTTCTGAGGCCCCCGTACCAAAACCAACAGTACTGCAAAGCCTTATAAACAGGGATATTACTAATCCTGATCATCGCCCAATTCTGACCCTCAGTGCCTACTGCCCAAAGCAGTAAAAGGAGAGGCACCCTGTGATGCACCGCAGGGCTGCAGTGTTTCGGAGTCAAGACTGGCAAGGTTATTCTTGCCAGTTTCCTCCTCTGTAACACAAATGATGACCAGTATTTCTTCGGATTATTGATGATGCAGAGGAGCAAATTGTAGTAGGAGGAATCTCTCATTTTGCAAAGGGATGTGAGACTCAATGTGTCCTTGTTATCCGCATTCATCATATTAGTTAGTTTGTTTACCTAATCAGCTCCTGAAACATTGTCTGCTAAAGAGAGAAATCTCCCAGAGGTTAGCCATGAGCCAGGAATCTGAATTAGCCAAGCGATATTTTAAGGCATCTAGGGTGTTACTGTGTATTGT